TCTTACAGACATCCACCAGGAAAACGAGCTGAGTTACCGAAGAAGATTATGAGAACGTTAGGCAAACTTTAAATAGAGAAAATAGACTGGTGTGGGAGCATATTTTCTTTTTTTAGATTTGCGCACCGTTATATAATTAATAAACTCGAAATAATACAAATACCAATACCGCATTCAAGTTGTGGAATAATGATAATAAAATAAATAATCGTTGCATATTGAATTTATATTTGAAAGATAGAAGAGGAAATTGAAGGTTTGACCAAAACGCAAGATGTAATTTCTGTAATACTGGAAATTAATGTGTCCCTGCAAACTGAATATACTCTGGTTAGGTACGTATTTCTTTTAACAAACCTTTATAATAAGTGGTGAAAAAAAATCATCACACGGTTGGCCGACCAACATTTGGTATTTTAAAATTGATATTTCATATAGAAATGCAATTTCATTACAATTTACTCAAATTCAATAAAAGGGTAGTAGTCGTCTCGCCACGCATGCGCGAGATATATGGGTCTCGTATAAACAACGATGGCGACTTTGACTTACAAACTGAGACGTTGCCAAGCTATAATTATGTATTTTTTAGATGACAGGAAGGTATCGAAGTCGCGCCCAGGTCAAATTTAATATTTGTGATTTCCATTAGAAGAGCGCATTGGATAGTGGGAAAGTCAATGTTTATCAACACAAATGTCGCACATGCACAGCGCGACGACTGCCTCCCATATAGGAATGCAATTTAATCAAAACTAGATTCAACTGTATCTTGTTACAATTCCTCAAAATCAATGAAATTCAACTTTAACATGCGTTCAATTCATTTCAACTGGTTTTGGCATTATCATTGACACTGGGCAACTGGATACGTAGGTAAACAATACGCCAACCTAAACCTAATTTCAAGACACATATTTCTTTACATTAACTTACTATTCTTTAGTGGCAGGATAATGAACACTTTATTACGTGTGTTTGGTGAAAGCACTTTAAAAGTGTTGATAATAAACGCTTCTTTAAAACATGTCTCCGGCTAAGACACTATTCCATATGTCGTGATCATGAATATGTAATGTGTTATAGGCAAAAAACATCCCATTCAGCTACACTAAGAGTTTCATCACATTATTTCGCAATAATAGAAATTATAAACAGTTTAAAGGGTTTTAAAGTGGGTTTATAAACACTTTAAATGTTTTAATCCAAATCAGTAAAAATGTTTAATTTAAAAAAAAATAGTGTTTTATTATGAACCATTTGTGATTTCAAGTAAAACACTTTATTATTTATTAATAACTTAATTTTAAAGTAAGAACAAACGTTTGAAAAGACTTACAATTTGTTTAAATGAACAGTAATCCAGACCTGGCTTTGACGTAGTTACCTGAAATGTGGTAAACCCAATCGAAATTGTTCTCGCTAGCAACAAAATACTATGCAGTATCCATGGTTGTATTTCGTATGCTTGCTATTGCTGTATATATTACAGACGTGGTATTTAGCGTGCTATGGTTATTCTTACCAAGCTCAGTTAAATTGAATGGTACGGGTCAGTATTTTGTCAATATTTTGTTAAATCTAGGATTTAGTGATATATGTATATATAGTTTTTCTATAATGCACATAAAACATTCATGTTACAAGCTACTGTGTTCCCGAGTGGTCTTCAGACTGGTTTTTACGTAGTTATCACCTACCGAAGTCTAATTCACTATGATCAAACAGTTAATTCACACAATTCATGGTCGTCCAACGATGTCAGTCGTGCAGTCGGCATTGTATTACTGCTGTAGCCGGTAGGAAAATTCACCAGTGTGAAAATGCATTCTCACTTTGTATCACGTGCAGGAATCCCCCCACTGTTTAATCAATTTAGAACACCCGTATAAAATAATGAGTGATTTCAACAATTTACATTATGCGTAGTTTAGTGACTTTCGGTGCAAGTTAGATGCAGTGCCCCAATTTTTCAAAATGTGTGATGAAACAAACTGATTTTATATTTTCACAAGGTGAGATGTTTTTTATATGATACAATATCGAAAGGAAAATGTAATAATATGAAATCAAATTTGCATAGAATTTGGGATGTATACACTATTTACATTTTCAAATAGGCTCTATTTTTCCCATGGCTTCACGAATGTCTAGTACTTCACCAATTTGAGATTGAGATTCAGTACTTTGGCATTCAGTGCATTGCTATCGAGATAATACAAAATTGTCATGAAAAACAAGTTAGGTAATCCACTTATTGTTACATAACGATTAGGTGGCATTAGTAAGACTGGTTATTGACAAACATAAATTCATTAAATTTAGTTTAAATAATTCGTTACATTTAGTTTAATTAATTCATTAATTTAGTTTAATTAATTATTACATTTCATATACATATATAGATTGTTCCAAGGCTTTAAGAGATAAAAAAACCCATTATAGATTGTGTACATACAGTATAATTATGGATTTAGTAGCCATAACTTAAATGTAAAAAATCGTGTATTTTTTCAAGGCAATTCAGCAAAACGATTCCCACGATTAGTGTTAATCCAAAAATTGGTAGAGCAGATCAACCAGTATGCATCCTAGTTACAAAGCTCCCACCGTTAACACCGTTTACGGTAAGATCTCGTGTCATGGATGAGAAAGGACGAACATTTGAGGCTCATGGTCACTATACAGCATCGTCCGACGGTGAAGTTTATTTAGATAAACACCCTTCAATTGGAGGAACATACACAGGTAAGTCACACTAATAAACGTATAGTTTCAGAACGAATTATATATGTGTCTAAGAAATCAACAATGTGAACCATGGCTGCAAACATGTGCTGCACTGACATACACTTGAACCATATTGCTATGGACACAGATGTCAGCTTTACAGTTAATAAGGCATATTCGACTGTATTTAACATTCAAAACATTTATAATTGAACCTTGGACTGATCATTCGGGGGAAATCTGTAGAGGCCCACTGCAGCCCAAAACATGCTCTTATTTCGATAAAATGACAAAACTGCCATATAATGGTATGACTACATTGAGACATATACTAGTAGGAGCACCAACAAAACACATTGAGCGATGAGAATAAAACAATCCTCAAGGTAAGAAAGAAAATGATCTTGAGGAATGTACTTTGAGACAGATTTCATTATCTTTTGGTGAATCAATTTTTTTATATATATTTTTGAGTGTCAGTTGTATAAAAATACCCAAATTATACTCAAAGATGTAATTATTTGTTCCTCGATGTGCAATTTCCTATCATGCACAATTTCACTATTATGCGGTATCTGTGGCTGTTTTTCGTGGGTTTGCTTTTGCTGTATGTATTACAGACGTGCTATTTAACGTGCTTTGGTTATTTTTATACCAAGCTCAGCTGAATTGCGTACGGATCAGTATTTTGTTAATATTTTGTTAAATCCAGGATATAGTGATATATGTATATGTATTAGTTTTTCTATGATTTATACAAAACATTCATGTTATTTATAAAACGGAAACACGCCAACGTTACAACATCAAACAACAAATTGTAGAATGTTTACTGTCATAATGCAAGTCTCACAGAATGATGACTGAAGTCTATATCACTCGTCTCATAATATCGCAGCAGCAGCAACATACAGAGTATTCAAATGAAATGGTGGTCC